GTGCTAGATCTATAGCTCTCTGGTTGTGGGCTAGTCAAGATCTGCCTAGTATTGTACTTTGAAGTTGAAGTTGATAGAAGACAATATTTGCTGAACAAGTGATAGCTTATAGTTATCTAAGTCTTCTGTGTTCTTTTACCCATGGTTTATCAGTTAATTAAGAAAATAACATTAATGTTCTCGATGTTAGGAACTAAAACTAAGGTGATTAGACTTGAAATTTGGTGGTTGAAAAGTGAATCATATATAAACTTTTAAAAAAGAGAATGATTTTGTGATTGTGACATCTTGAGTTTTTTTTTAAATAGTATTTTGTTTCTTTTTTATTCTAAGATTTATCTATTTGTTTATTTACTTATTTATTTAACACATTGTCCTGCCAGAACTTCTGCAGGCCAGAAGAGGATACCAAATATCATAGATGATTGTGGGCCACCATGTGGTTGCTGGGAATTGAACTTAGGAGCTCTGGAAGAGCAGCCAATGCTCTTAACCACTGAGCCATCTCTCCAACCCATGACAAAGTGATTTGTACATTGAATAAATGATACTTTATTTGGGTTTGGATTTGATTTATTTTTTGCTGTTGTTTTGTTTTTTGTTTTTTCGAGACAGGGTTTCTCTGTGTAGCTTTGGATCCTATTCTGGGCACTTTTTCTGTAGACCAGGCTGGCCTTGAACTCTGAGATCCGCCTGCTTCTGCCTCCCAAGTGCTGGGATCAATAGCATGTACCACCAATTCCCAGTTGGATTTGAATTTTTAAAATTACTAATGTTCTGTCTGCATGTATGCCTGCACACCAGAAGAGGGCACTAGATCTTATTACAGATGATTCTGAGCCACCATGTGGTTTCTGGGAATGGAACTCAGAACCTCTAGAAGAGCAGCCAGTGCCCTTAACCTCTGAGCCATCTCTTCAGCCCTTGTTTTTACTCTTTAACATGCTAGTTTGTGTATTTATTGTTTTCCTGCCTTGTTATATGCTATTCCCTCACTTTTGAATAGCTTTTTCTCACAGTTTTCATGGCTGTTTAAAATGTCTACTTTAGGTTTTAGGTCATATATTATTTACTCTCAAAACTGCCCCCATTCTTTAAAATGGCTTATCTGAACCTGTCTGTTTTATTCCTTTCCACTATGTTGCAAGCGCCTAGCATGAAAATGCCAGGATCTTTGGGTCTTATTTACAGTGTCTACAGCTCTTTTAACACACTGGCACATGAAAGAGACTGGATAACTGTTATGAAATGAATTATCTGGAGATAGATATAGTTGCTATTTGTACTTCTCCTTTACCCAATTGTGCAATTGAACAAGAGGGAATAGGTAACTAATATTGTTTCTTCCCCCTCCTTATGCCCAAGTTAGTCAGTGTTAGACAGCTACGCTTATGTTAACAGCATTTTATAATGTTGGGATAATGCATTTGTCAGCTTCTTGGGTGCATTATTTGGCAGTATGAGAATAAAGAAATTTCAATGGGGAAATGTATTATGTTAACATAAATCTCTGGTTGTATTTCAACTAGGTGGTTCACAGAGACTTGAAACCTAGCAACATTCTTTATGTGGATGAATCTGGTAATCCAGAATCTATTCGAATTTGTGATTTTGGCTTTGCAAAACAGCTGAGAGCAGAAAATGGTCTTCTCATGACTCCTTGTTATACTGCAAATTTTGTTGCACCAGAGGTAATTGTGAGAAAGTGTGTTTGTTGTGTTTGAATATATTGAAGAACTCATTTTCTATCTTTAATATGGAATAGTTAATTATTGTTTAATTGAAGAGGCGCTGAACTGATCATTGAAATAAAATGCCAGTCCTTTTTTTCCTTGTCTAATGCTTCAATGACATCAGATTGCCTACAGGAAAAAAAAATCTAAATTCCTTAGTAAGATATTACAAAAGCTCTTCAGTTTCTCTAGTATCCTCTTCCTGAAGTTCTAGCTACCTACTTTGAACCATTTTGCCTATCATTAACACTGTTCTGTCCTCTGGTTTTGTTCTGAGACAGAGTCTCAATTCTGAACCCAGCCTGGCCTTGAACTTGCAATGATCCATTTCAGCCTCCCAAGTTCTGAGATTACAGATGTGAGCCACCACACAGTTTTGCCCTTTGCTTCTGCTTTTGACTGCCCTCTACCTTCTCTATTTGCCTACAGACATCTTACTTCTAGTTCTAGTGCAAACTAGCTAACTCTCTCCCCATATCAAGAATTAATTGGAGCTAAAATTATACCTCAGTGATGGGCTGCTTTCCTAACTATAGTAAGCCCTAGATTTTATTCCAAGCTCCACAAAAATGAATAAATCAGAGTCTTCATTAACATGATTTTGTTATAATGCTTATATTGAATTGTTAACTATATGTTCATTTCCTCTGCTAGATTCTATTTTTTAAGAAAAATTTTCAAAATTTGTCATAATTCATGCCTGATAATAATCAGTGATGATGATTAAATGTTTGAGTGAATCAAATTATATACAGATTAGTAGTTTTAGCACTGTATCATTTGTATGCATTCTTAAAAGTATTGTTATTTGCCAGGTATAAGAGGCATGCCTATCATTCTAATACTAGGGAAACTCAGTATACAATCAAGAGTACACAACCTTCCCTGACATCATAGGAAGTTTGAGGCTAGCCTGGGCTATTGAGTGAAACTCTTGTCTCAAAAAGTATTGTTTATAGTAATTTCTATAGCCCCATTCAGAAGAGAAATTCATTAAGAAACTTGTCAGGTGTGGTAGCACAGACACCTTTAATCTCAGCACTAAGGCAGAGACAGGTGGATCTCTCTAAGTTCTAGGCCAGCCTGGTCTACATAGTGAATTCCAGGCCAGCAAGAGCTATATAGTAAAATTATGTCTCAAGAAGAAATAGGTAGGGGTTGGGGACTTAGCTCAATGGTAGAGCATTTGCCTAGCAAGCACAAGGCTCTAAGTTTAGTCCTCAGCTCTCAAGGAAAAAAAGGAAAAAGAAATATGTCAACAAAATTTAACTTTGATTTGTCCTGTATCCTTCTGTACCCACAGCAGTACATAATAAATGTTCAATACCAATGTTAAATTCACATATACATTTATAAATTATATATACTTATACATTGTGGATTTATATATGCATTCATGAATGTATGTATGAATTTAATATATATATATAAGTGTATATAAGATGAATGTTCTAATATTTGATTACTATATGGTCTTATTTGTTAATCATGTTTTATTAAAGTTCTTAGGTATATTAATTTGGAAAATACAATTTCATTTAATATCCAAATATATGTAAAAAACAGTGTGGAGAAGTTGGAAAGATGACACCAGCTAAGAGCACTTGCTGTTCTTGGAAAGGATCAGCAGCTCATTTGTAACTCCAGTTCCATGAGATCAGACTTGTTTCCTGGCCTTTGTGGTGCACATAATGATGGAGTCCACAAGATCACACAATAGATTATAGCTGATATTTAGAAGGCCAACCCACCAGAGATACACATATCTGTTGGAGGACAAAACTCACGAGGGATGGCCTGTGAGGAATATTGTCTTTTCAATAGCTGGCTGCTTCTAACTGCAATTCTCTTGTGTGGTAACATGCCCTCCCCCTCCAATACAACTTTGGGACTTGTCCTACAACCTTAGCAGTCTATTCCTCATTTGTTGGGCACAATTCTTCCTGTGTACTGACAAAAGGATGATTTCTCCCTTCACTGTGCAATTCTGGTGAAAAAAAAAATAAGTCACAGTCAAACATTTGTTCCACATTATGATAAGAAACTTAAAAGCCTAATTATCTCACTGACAAGTCAATTTGGTAAGATGAGGTGTCTTTGTGGATAGAACTAGTGGAACTTTCACAGATAATACTCAAGAACAGAATTGCAGTGCATCTGGATTTGTTAAATCAAAGCACTCGGAGATTAAAAGATCAGAGTTGTCCTGAACTCAACCCACCTGCCTTTTTAGAAATTGCAGCACTTCCCTGCTTTGTCCCCAAAGGCTATTAACACTTTGTATACACTTTATACAAAGTTAATTGATACAAGATTTTAAGCTTAGGAGAGTAACTTTATGGTTAAGCCCTGAGATTTGTATAATTAACAGAAAGAGACTGTTAACCCATTAACCATCTCCAGAGGGAGATAGCTTTCTCGCACAGTTGCTGTTGAAAGTGAACATGCAGATGGCCAGAGCGGCTGGGGGGTGTCAGTCTCTAACCTTGTACAAAATAGTTGCAGGTCCCCTCTTTGTTCTAACCTTGTACAAAATAGTTGCAGGTCCCCTCTTTGTTCTAGTCACATAGGGCAGAAGATATATTTTCAGGTTTGAAAGGATTTTTATTGCCAGTTAATATTTGGCAAATATGCCTATGCGAATCAGCACTGTAAGTTTCCCCCTTCCCATATGCAGGTTGCCATGGTTATGCACTAACATGGCTTCTGAAGCACAGCTACATTCTCTGCATTGGGAGATAAGGGCATTTTGCTTTTTCACATTTTACCGGTCATAAAATTTTAGCTTATAAATTTAGTTATACTTCTTAAGAAATGTAGAATAGTTTAGGAATTCTTTGCTTTCTCCTTAGATTTTTCTTTGGTTTAGTTTTTCCCCTTTGTGACCCCTTTCCCTTTAAGAGATAGCCAAAACCTTTATATCCACAGCTGCGGCAAGCCATAAAAAAAGCTGGCAACTTAATTGTTGTATATATTGCTTATCTATCTGAAAGGAATGCTTTATGACCCTGAAAATTAGCCTTGTTACCTTTCTATTGCCAAAGAATTGTTGTAGTATGTGTATATAAACTGCAAAGGTTTGAAGGACCTGAACAGATTGTGTACATATTTATTATAGGAAACTTTCAATCCTTGCTCTGGAGAAGCCTTCTCTGAGTTACCCTTGGTAGTGGCCTAGAAGCTGAACTTGCAGACCACTAAACCATACAGACAAGCTGGCATATTCACAAATATATAAATAATATTTTTAAAAAGATACTAGTATGGGTCTTTTTGCATTCATAAACGTGATGATTGGGAATTCACTCCACTGCATGATGTATGCCACCCATTAAACCCTGTTGCGATGTCAGCACATTACCCATTTAAAAAAGATTAGTGTGGTAATTATCATCTTTTATTTTTTTCAAGGTTTTGAAACGACAAGGTTATGATGCTGCCTGTGATATATGGAGTCTTGGTGTCCTCCTTTATACAATGCTTACTGGGTAAGTGAGTACCATAAGCGTTTATTCATCAATATTTTATTTAAATGATATAGGCTTTTAAATCCCTGTATTATAATATCTTTCCATGTTTCTCATACTAATATATATCCCTATAGTTATATCATATTTATGGCTATATCTTTTTTAATTAACTTTCCTTTTTTTGTTTTGTTTTGATTTTGAGACAGGGTCTCACTTGTGTTGTCTGGCTGGCCTCAGACTCACAGAGATCTGCTTGCTTCTGCCTCTCCAGTGCTGGGATTAAATGGGTACCACCATACCTGGCTATATCTGTGGCTTAATATCTATGTTCTTAAATTAATTTTTCCATACTTTTATTCTGATTATGTAATAGTCATATGCTGTTTTATGTATTATTCTAGACTATCATAACTTAAAATACATATATTATATATTAAGCCTTTCTAAGAGTTTTATTGCTGTGAAAAAAATACCATGACCATGATAACCCCTATAATGGAAACATTTAACTGGGACTGGCTTACAGTTCAGAAGTTTATAGTTCATTATTATCATTGTAGGGATTCAGGTAATATGCCAGCCTGCCCCTGTCATCTGGCAGAATGTACTCAGGCAGTACCCCGGTCAGCCCAGGTGCAAAGGACCCATTTAAAAGAAAGACCTCCACCCACTTACACTCTCTTTCTGGCTTCTGTATTTCCAACTGTTTATTCTTGCTCCTCTCTTTCCCACTGTTCCCCTGGTGCAGACAAGACTTTTACTATCTCTCTTCTCTCTTGTCCTCTCTCTGTCTCCGTGTCTCTTTATGCCTTTTCTCTTTTCTTCTTGCTCCCTTCCCTTTCTAATAAAACTTTTCAATAAGCTCTGTCTGCCTGGCATGTTTGTCCCTCCACCTAGGTCACCCTCGCCTGCTATAGAATTCTCCAATGTTTACCACACTTTATCATAACAATCATGGTGGCAAAAACAGTGGCATGCAGGCAGACATTGTGTCAGCAAAGGTAGCTGAGAGTTCTACATCTTGATTCATAGGCAGCAGGAAGAGAATGAGACGCACTGGGCCTGGCTTGAGCTTCTGAGACTTCAAAACCTACCCCTGTGACACACCTCCTCCAATATGGCCACACCTACTTCAACAACACCACACCTCCCAGTTGTGCCAGTCCCTATGAGCCTGTCAAGCCATTTTCATTCAAACTACCACAAAGTCTAATAATGTAACTATTATTTGGCCTATTTTACTATATTTACTTTTATAGACTCCAATAAAATATTGCATTAACTGAACTACTCAAAATATTTTTAGAAATTGTAAGTAAATGTAAACATTACTAACTACAAGATAAATTTTATTCATTGACATTTTAACTCTATTATAATCTAGTTACACTCCATTTGCAAATGGTCCTGATGATACTCCAGAAGAAATATTGGCACGAATAGGAAGCGGGAAATTCTCACTCAGTGGTGGTTACTGGAATTCTGTTTCAGATACAGCAAAGGTACGTGTGACTTCTATTATAGGATATTTGATCACACTGTGAAACTCCATGACTATAAATAAAATTAACCTTGGATCAGAGGGTGGAGCCAGTGATTAGTTGACAGAAATTAACCATAGAGAGATGGAGGAGCAAGAAATACAGAGAGAGAGTCACTCAGGAAGGAGTAGGGAGGTACTTAGAGATTTGTGGGGTTTTTTGGTTTGAGACTAGTAGAGACACTTCTCTTACTGTCTGCAGCCAAAAAGAAAGATCAGCTGGTTACTTTTTTGGCTTTTCTGATATAGTAAGTTTTCACTGCAACATCTGACTCCTGAGTTTTTATTGGTAAATAGAAAAAACAGACTTAGTTAAAACCTACATTTGGCAGCCAAGGTTGAGCCTGTGCCAGCAGACCAGAAATCCCACCAGGATTCAGGCTGAGCAGCAGGGGGCCCTGGGACACAGAGGATAGTTAAAATATGCATAGATTCAGGTGTGGCCACTGAGCTGACAGAAACCAACAGACTAACAATTACATGGTTGTTTACTTTTGTTTTCTTATTGGGGCTAGGAATTGAACCCAGGACAACATATATGCTAAGCACACATTCCACCGCTAAACTATTATACACTCAGCCATATTATAGACATTTTATCAGGGGAACAGGGTATTGGATGTGTGTGCATGTTTGTCAGTGAGCAGATGGATGTGTGTGCAAAAGGATGTGAAATACAAAGGAAAATTCTGGGTGTCTTTTCTATAGTGGCCATGCAATTTGAGTTAAGGGATATTGTTTTCTTGCTTGCTTACTTGCTTACTTTGAGATGGATTCTCTTGGTGGTCTAGGGCTCACATTGAACCCCAGAGATCTTCCTGTCTCTTGCCTCCCCAACTCTGAGACAATGTATACAGCAATGCTTGCTACAGACCACAGGTTTATACAGGGCAATCTCAGTTGACAAAATCATGAGGCTGACCTGCCAGGATCATCACTCATTTTGCTAGAGGAAACCTAATTTGTAGAACTTTGGGGATACCTGCTTTTTGAATAGTCACTGTCATTTCTGTAAAACCCTTGTGAACACATAGGGCTCCCTTTACAATAGTGGGATTCATCCCCAAAAACCTCAGTAGTGTATTAATTATTGGGCATAATTCCTTCTTGTACCGGTAAACTGAATGACCTTACCCCACACTGTGGAGCCCTGGTGTGAAAGTTTTTACTCAGTCTAAGAAATCTTTGTTCTCGTATTCAAATCTACATAACTTAGAAGTTAGCTCCTACAATTATCTTTTATGGCAGTACATCCAACAAGGAGAGGAGACTAGCAAATATACCACATTTGGAGCCTCAAAGACAGGCATTGAGTAGGAGACACAGCATGCCTGCCTAAGCAGGACTAGGAAGCCCTGATTTCTTTAAGCACCAACTCAGGAGAGAGTAGCCTACTGTCCCTTGTTCTACCCTAACAAGCTATTAATATTGTGTATTTACCATCACCCCAGTTTTATTGATACAAGATCTTAAGCTAGGAAATTAACTGTTTGTGCCTTTACCCTTAGAGATATAGGAAAAAGCTTTGGATCATTTAACCAGCCCCAGAGAAAAGGATTCCCTTTCACTGGGGCATCAGCAGTATGCCCGCTTAGTTCAGGGATGGAAGTGGCAGCTTCCAGATATTACATAGCCTTTCCCTTTGATGTAGTGCTGGAAGATTTCACTAATATTTGCTAAAAATACTAATATAGCCTTTTCTTTGGGTACTGGGGGATCAAACTCAGGACCTCATGCTTATACAGTGTTCTAGTTTGTTGTCTGTTGCTATGATAAACAATATAACCAAATCAACCTGGAGAGGAAAGAGTTTATTTGACTTAACATTTTTTGATCACAGTCTATGATTGAGGGAAGTCATGGAAGGAAGTTGAGTCAAAAACCGAGGCAAAGTCCATGGAGGAATGGTATTTACTGGCTTTCTCTCCATGGCTTGCTCAGCCTGCTTTTTTATATAACCCAAGACCACTTGCCCATAGACGGCACCTCTCACAGTAGTCTGTGCCCTTCCATACCAATCATTAATCACGAAGATGTGGTTGGAGAGATAGATCAATGGTTGAGAGCACTTTGTTGCTTAGAAGACCTGGGTTCCATTCCCAGCACCCACATGACAGCTCACAATCATCTATAACTCCAGTTATAGGAGACCCAATGCTTTCCCCTACCTCTGGAGGCCTCAGGCATGCATGTGGTGTACATACATACATGCAGGCAAAACACCCATACACATAAAGTAAATCTAAAAATTATTATTAAAAATGTTCTTTTTTTAATGAAACACACAAATAAGAATAAATAACCACCTCAGTCTTCCTGCTATAGAAGATGCAGTCTCTGCCCTTCCGATGCTCTCCCCAACCTAAGAAATTGTGAGCCAGTCCTTCCTATATCTTATAATGGGTCATGTCTGAAACCACGCCCAAAGGGTGTGACCATCACTACAAGTTCACTGGCAACACAAGATGCCACTACATTGGTTTGTGGAAGGAAGTTCCTCTTTTCCTTGTCCACATCACTGTGTAGGTGGCACAGCGAAAGCCCACTCATATCTGTCAATGATAACAGCATCACAGGAATGGAACCACACATTCTTTAGACAGGCCTACAGGCCAGTTTAATGGAGGCAAATCCTTGCTTAAGGTTCCATCTTATGGCCAGGCGGTGATGGTTTATGCCTTTAATGCAGGAAGCAGAGGCAAGCATATCTCTGAGTTCAAGGCCAGCCTGGTCTACAGAGCAAGTTCAGTAAGCAGAGGCAGGCAGATCTCTGAGTTCAAGGCCAGCCTGGTCTACAGAGCAAGTTCCAAGACAGCCAGAGCTGTTACACAGAGAAACCCTGTCTCAAAAAACAAAAGAAGAAAAAAGGTATTTGTCACAATCCATGATTAGAAGAAATACTAACAGAGGCTGTTTATTTTAATTAATTAATTTTTACTTAAATTAAAAACAATCTTATTTTACATATTATCCCAGTTCCCTCTCCCTCAGGTCCTCTCATTCCCCCTACCAACTCCCCATCCCACCCCCTCATCCACTCCTCAGGGAGGGTAAGGCCTCCCGTGGGGGATCATCAAAGTCTGTCACATCATTTGTAGTAGGACCTAGGCCCTCCCCTGTGTATCCAGTCTGAGAGTATCCCTCCATAGGGAATGGGCTCCCAAAGCCCATTTGTGTACCAGGGATAAATAATGGTTCCACTGCCAGAGGCCCAATAGACTGCCCAGGCCCCACAACTTACACCCAGGGGACCTGTTTCCCTCCTATGCTGGTTCCCCAACTGTCAGTCTGGGGTCGGTGAGCTCCCACTTGCTCAGGTCAGCTGTTTATATGGGTTTCTCCAGCATGGTCCTGACCCCTT